AAGATTTGTTACTCATATTGGTTTAATAAAAAGCTGATTTGCCAGTATCCAGCCAGGAAGTACAGGTAAGGCAACCAGGCTAGGAAAATTCAGGGAAGCGAAAAGGCTCAGTCTGCAGACATCTACCAGGTGTGGAGCAAGCAAGATGAGAATGGCTTACTGATAAAAGGTACAAACTCACATGGCTAAACATAGATAATAATTATGGGTTAATTCAAGCTCTAAATGCTAGTTAATAATAAGCCTAAACAAATAGGACAAACAGTTTATAATTTAAAAAAAAGAGTCACCATGACCACAGCAGATCTTATAAAAGAAAACTTCTAACTGGGGCTTATTTACAGTTCAGAGGTTTAGTTCATTATCATCATGGAAGTAAACATAGTGGATATCTGGATCAACTGGCAACAGGACGAGAGTACCACAATGGGTGGGGCTTTAGGATTTGAGACCTCAAAGAACACCCCTAATGACACACTGATTTCAACAAGGTCACACCGCCTAATAGTGCCACTCCTTGTTTTCAATGTGGCATGACAGGACAGGTGAGAAGGGATTGTAGAAATAATGTCTCCTCTAGGAATGGCAAAAATAAAAAGTATCAATCTTCTGGATTATGTTGAAGGCGTGGCAAAGGTCGACATTGGACCAATGAATCCAGATCAACAAAAGACAGACAGGGCAACCCAATACCATTGGGAAACTCCTTGGGGGACCTCTCACAGGCCCCCAAGTCAAATGTGGTCCAGTCATTTCCATTCACTGTGGAGGACATGTCTCACCAGAAAAACTTTAAAATGCAATGTCTGCTGCAAAAAACCATACAGTTCTGGATGATGGAATAAACATAGAGGATGAATCAAAAATTCCAATAAGAAATAGGAAACTTATATTCTGGCAGACTTCTTTAAATGATCAAAGACCAAAGCTAAGAGTGCATATAAATAACATTGTAGTTAAGGGATTACTAGACACAGTTGCAGATGAATCATTACTCCAGAATCTTGGCATCCAATCTGGCCTCTTCAAAAAGGCAGATGTTCCTCATCAGAGCAACGGACTGAGCCCCCAAGGTCCAGTTGAAGAGCAGAAGGAGGGAGGTGAGCAAGAAAGTGTGGACCGTGATGGGTTGGTCCACCCACTGAGACAGTGTGCCTGTTCTAAGGGGAGCTCACCAAATCCAGCTGGACTGGGACTGAATGAGCATGCTATAAAACCAGACTCTCTGAAGAGTCTGGGGGCTGACTGAGAAGACATTGATAAAGGCACTGGGACTTATTTCTATTGCATGTACTGGCTTTTTGGGACCCTAGTCTATTTGGATGCAAAGCTTCCTAGGCCTGTATGTAGGGGGGGAGGGCCTTGGACTTCCCACAGGGAAGGGTTCCCTGCCCTCTCTTAAGGAGGGAGGTGGAGGGAGAAGAGTGAATGGTGGAGTGGGAGGGGAATGGGAGGAGGGGAGGAAGTGTAAATTTTTGAATGGAAAAATAAAAAATAATTAATTAATTAATTAAAAAAGAATCAGGAAAAGGAAAAAAGGGCAGATGTTCAATTCCAAGGAATTGGAATTCTTTTTCAAGTGAAACAAAGCATGAGATGGTTGGATGCATAAGGCAAAAAGAACAGAGAGGAAAGTTGAGGGCATATGTGGCTAATATCACAGTGAATTCATGGGGTTGTGACCTGCTGCAGCAATGGAATATACAGATTAACATTCCTGAAGTTGCAGAAACTTATGTTTCTGGGAAGGATATTATAAAGTACTACACACAAATGTCACCAGCCATTCAGGCTGTACAAGAACCCAAAGAAACCAGCAAACATTTAGAGTTACCAACAGTCCTACCTTTAAAATTGTTAACTGAGAAACCAATATGGGTCAAACAATGACCATTAACAGAAGACAAACAGCAGGCTTTAGAACAGCTGCTACAGGAACAGCTAGATGCTAACCATATTGAAGAATCACCCAGCCCTTGGAATTTTCCTGTATTTGTTGTTTAAAAGAAATCTGGAAAATGGAGAATGGTAACAGATCTAAGAGCTGTCAACAAGGTAATTCATGGGCCCTCTACAATTCCTCTGCCTTGTCTATTACCAAAAGGATGGCCACTTATAACTATTGATTTAAAAGACTGTTTCTTCACTATACCTTTACAAGAAAAGGATAGAGAAAAATTTGCTTTCATAGTGCTTACTTATAATAATCCTCAACCTAGTAGGAGTTAACAGTGGACCATCTTCCCGCAAGGAATGCTCAACAGCCCCACACTGTGCCATAGGAAATAATACATAAAAAATTTCCTAAATCTGCAATTTACCATTACACAGATGATATTTTGTTATTTGATTCAAACACAAATACTTTAGAGAGAATGTTTGAAGAAATAAAGTTCTGCCAAAATGGGGATTATAAATTTCTCCTGAAAAAGTACAAAGAGGAAATTCTGTAAATTATCTAGGTTATAAAATAGGTTTACTACAGAGCTACACTACTGAAAATAGCCCGTTATTGGCATAAAAACAGATAGGAAGACCAATGGAATTGAATCGAAGACCCAGATATTAATCCACACACCTTCAAACAGCTGATTTTTAACAAATAAGCAAAAAATATCAAATGGAAAAAAGAAAGCATATTTGACAAATGGTGCTGGCATAACTAGATATCAACATGTAGAAGAATAAAAATAGACCCATATCTATCACCATACACAAAACTCAAGTACAAATGGATCAAAGACCTCAACATAAAGCCAACCACACTGAACTTTATAGAAGAGAAAGAGGGAAGTACACTTGAACACATTGGCACAGGAGACCACTTCCTAAATAGAACCCCAGCAGCACAGACACTGAGAGAAACAATTAATAAATGAGACCTCCTGAAACTGAAAAGCTTCTGTAAAGCAAAGGACACGGTCAACAAGAAAAATGACAGCCTACAGAATAGGAAAAGACCTTCACTAACCCCACATCAGACAGAGGTCTGATCTCCAAAATATACAAAGAACTCAAAAAAATTGCCATCAAAAGAACAAACAATCCAATAAAAAAATGGAGTACAGAGATAAACAGAGAACTCTAAACAGAAGAATCTAAAATGGCTGAAAGACACTTAAGGAAATGTTCTACATCCTTTTGACAAAGAGCTGCACCTTGACCACTGAGAAAATGCATGGTGTTCAGATAGGACAAGCAGGATACAAGAAAAAAGACTGTCGAATCTTGCCAAGTTAGGGTAAGATGGTTTTGAAAAATCATCCTGCCTCTGAAAATGGTCTGTCAGTTGGTCTAGACCTTAACCAAAGTTGGTTGCTCCAAACATTGCAAATAAGACTTTGTGTGATTGCCCCAGTACCCAGTTGTCTTTCTCATTTCTTGTACATTTAGGAAGTTGCCTGATTACTCTTCCCGTTTACCTAAGTAATATTATTTTCCTTCTCAGTCTTCAATGTGGTTGAAGACTAAATAGTCATAGCTATTTTCCTCTCATGACTTGACCAAGTTATTTCTACTAGAAAACTTAAACATTTAGCATATGTTTCTTGCTTGATTTTGTTTATGCTGGTTGTAATTCTAATTTTTATACTTTATATTTGTTCTTATTTTATATAGTTTTGTTGCCTTGAAGTTCTTGGTCACAGTTAACAAGAGACTTCCAAACATTGCAGGATATTGCTGTTACCCATGGTTGCCTCTCAGAGGCATAACTTGAATTTCTAGTGTTGAAGAAGACACAAACTTCAGACACAAATCCTAGAGGTCTCCAGATGGAACTGACTGAAAAGTCACCTCACTGAGGACTAGCTTTCATGGTACCAGAAGCCAACATTCAACCTTCCAGAGGAGGGAGCCAACAGTCAATAAAATTCAAGGACTAGAAATTTGCATTATGTTGTTAAATAAGTTTCATAGGTACCATACTTGAACAAGACTAGAAATGAATGTACAGTGCATTCTAACAAAATAATCTCAACTTTTTATCAATATAAAAGAATCCAAGCCAATGTACAATATTTACAATGGGTTTTTGATCCTACTTCACCTATTGGTTTTGTGGGAGCCTAGGTAGTTTGGATGCTCACCTTACTAGACCTGGATGAAGGTGGGTGGTCCTTGGACTTCCCACAGGGCAGGGAACCCTGATTGCTCTTTGGGCTGACAAGGAAGGGGGACTTGATTGGGGGAGGGGGAGGGAAAGGGGAGGCAGCGGTGGGGAAGAGACAGAAATCATTAATTAATTAATAAAGAAATAAATAAATTTAAAAAAGTAGATTCCCTTCAACTTTGTCTTTCAGGATTGTTCCTAAAAGGAGTTGTAATGCTGCAGCTGTCCACTTCTGGTGGTGCATATATAATGTGCAGAGCCATCAGAAACTAGGCCATAGTCTTTTTTTTTTTTCCTCAGTCAACCATTCATTTGGCACACACTATGAGGCTACAAGTGAATGCTTGGAGGCAGACAATATTCCAACAGGAATAGAAAAAGTAGATATTTGGAAAACTTCATATAACATGTGTTATAAAGGATTTGGGCATTGGATATGTGTTAAATCTTTAACTGGGGATGGAACACAGAGAAGGGATGAGGAGTAGGTGGGTCAACCAAAGTAAAAATTTGTGTAGAAACCTTATGAAATCCCCTTATCTTACAAATTAGTAAAGGTGTCCCACATGGGTAAATAATTTTGCTCCCAAACACTAGGGTTATTTAGTGGAACTCTCTGTACCAGATACTGGTTATTTGCCTAGGATTAACTGGTCAGGGAGGCCCCATTGTCACCATAAACTAAACAGGTCATTCCAAGTGCTCTTGATCAGACAACATAAGTACATGGTGTAGCTGATGACACCAAACACTTTGGCACTGCAAGACAGAGAGCAACATTGAACATACCAGGCAAAATTCCCTGCTGGCCAGTCTTTGTGGCACTGTAAGGGCCTGTGAATGCTGTTCTCACAGAAATGATGTCAGTGGTCTTCCTTAGCCCTGGACCACACATGTTACAATAAAAACTTGCCAGCCAAGATGTGGGTGCAAAACTGGCACCAATATTAATGGACATAAACAAAGTTTCTCTTGATTGGATTTCAAACCTGTACCACAGAGAGGAATTCATGCCATGGTAAAACAAAAAACAAAAACATTGGAACCTATAGGTTGTAGGTTGTAACTCGATTAATGTTTTGATTAACAATCATAACCATTATTCTGCCATCTAAATATTCATGTTTAAGATAACTTCATACTATTCTCAACATAGGTGAAAGAAGTTTTCTCCTGCAATAGGTAGTGGGAATGCAGAGATTAATAACTATTCGAGACTAAGAAAAAGCAACTGTGTAAGATTGGGGTAATCACCATTTCAACATAGTTGAGGGGGGTCCTACAGGTCTCCTTTACGTCAGAGAAGGTGTACTGGCAGGTAACAGAAGTTATATCATTTTATTATAGAGTTTCAAGTAAATTCTTCCCAAGTTTTCTTCAGTAGTTCAAAATGAAGTCCTGCATCTGGTCAGGATTTCTTTCTTGATCTTATTTTGGTTTTTCAAGATAGGATTTCCTATATAGCTCTGGCTGATTTGGAATTTGCAATGTAGAAAATGCTGCCCTAGCAGTCACAGGAATACACCTTTTTATGCTTCCAGAGAGCTGAGATGGTGTATCACAATCCTTAGCCTTTGGGAACGTCCAAGTTGTATGTCAGCATTCCGGTGGTGTCACAATTACAGCCTACATCTTCACAGTTAGTTCCTTTCTTGCTATTTGTATGGTCTGACTCTAGCATGAAGAACTGGAAGGTGAATAAAACAATTTATCAGTGTTTTCTTTAATTGTGAATTTTCTTTTATCTCTGCAATTTCAGCAGTATGTGAAGGGTTTGTCAAATTCAAGGCATTTAGGGAGGTATAATTTCCAATTGACAGACATGGGGAGTCTATACTCTCTTTTTTTGGTTCTCAGAAGTATGAGTTTTGTAGTATATAGCAAAATTGGAAAGTAAACAAAAGGTTTTGTGATATTTTCTATGTAATTCTATTAGAATTTTGTTGTTGTTTTCTTTTGACAAAGAGGTTGTGAAGTCTGAGCTGTCCTGAAACTCAGCATGAAGTTGAAGATGTTCTCTGACTCACAGATATCATTTTACCTCTGCATCCTGAGTGCACCACCACACCTGGCAGTAATATGATTTTTTGATTGTAGAACAAGATAAATGTTTTTATTACATTTTTTTTTTTAAACCAGGGGCCACAGCCATGGCTAAGTAGGTAAGAGCATTGGTTGCTCTTCCTGAAGAACAGTGTTCATTGCCGACACAGGCATGGCAGTCCCCAGTGGTCTGTAATTCCAGCTTCAGGGGATCAGATGACCCCTTCTGTAGTACATCAGGCATACACATAGTGCACAGACTAACTGCAGGCAAAGCATGCATACATGTTTAAAAAAATAAAAAGCTTTCCCATTATTGCATTTGCATTCAGAATTGTATTTTAATATAATCTCTAGGATATTCTTAAAATGTAAAAGTTCCCTAAAGACTTTCACAAGTTTCTTATCTTTATGTTCCTATTTTGCATACTGTTATGATCTATAAGAAGGGAATACCAGAAAATGCTATGTTACATTTTTCAAATGGTATGTTTCTCTCCATTACGAATTTTCTCCTATCTCCTAAGATCTGAAATCTGGACAGAGGATCCATCCTCCTAAGATCTGAAATCTGGACAGAGGATGCATCTGTCTTTGTGTGGTTTCTCTCCATTATGGATTTTCTGATGTCTCCTTAAACCAGAAGAGTAGGTAAAAGAGTTGCCACATTCCTAACAATTGTAAGTTCTCTGTCCAGTAATAAGTCTATGACGTTTTCTACGTTTTGAGTCGTGGGTAAAGGACTTGTCACATTCCGTATGTTTGTAATGTCTCTCTCCAGTGTGAACTCTCCGATGTCTTCTAAGATTTGCGCAAAGGGTAAAGGATCTGCCACATTCCACACATTTGTAAGGTTTCTCCCCAGTATGAACTCTCTGATGTCTTTTAAGATCTGAGCAATTGGTAAAGGCTTTGTCACATTCCTTACAACTGTATGGTCTTTCTCCAGTATGAATTCTCTGATGTATTCTAAGACTTACAACATGGGTAAAGGACATGGCACAGTGTTTGCATTTGTGAAGTTTCTCTCCAGTATGACTTCTCTGGTGTTCTCTAAAATATGAGCAGCTAGTAAAAGACTTGTCACATTCTTTACATTTGTAAGGTTTCTCCCCAGTGTGAATGCTCTGGTGTCTTTTAAGATGTGAGCAAGTGGTAAAGGATTTGTCGCATTCCTTACAACTGTAAGGTCTCTCTCCAGTATGAACTCTCTGATGTACTTTAAGACTTACAGTATGGGTAAATGATTTGTCACAGTCTTTGCATCTGTAAAGTTTCTCTCCAATATGAATTTTTTGATGTGTCCTTAAACCGGAAGATTGGGCAAAAGATTTGCCACATTCCTGACAAATGTATGGTCTCTCTCCAGTATGAACTCTCTGATGTGTTCTAAGATGTGAATCCCGGGCAAAGGACTTGTCACACTCCATACATTTGTAAGGTTTCTCTCCAGTATGAATTTTCTGATGTCTTTTAAGGGTTGAGTTCAAGGTAAAGAATTTGTCACATACCTCACATTTGTAAGGTCTTTCACCAGCATGGATTCTGTAATGCCTGTTAAGATGAGATAATTCAAGAAAAGAATTTCCACATTCTTTGCATTTGTAAGTTTTTTCCCCAGTATGAAGTGTTTGATGCATTTTAAGACCTGCATGCTGGATAAAGGATTTTTCACAAATGATATAATTGCAGGATTTAATTCCAGGATGAATTCTTTGATGTAGAGTGAGGCTTGAGGCAGTGTGGACAAATTTCTTAAATTTCCCACGATGGTGTGGTGTCTCTCTAATATAGACTGGTTGTTGCAAAAAACTGCATGCAGAGCTGAAATAGTCATATTCTTCCTGACTGTGCTCTTTGTTTGCAGTATAGAGTCTCTCATCTTGAGTAATGTTGGAACACAAATTTAATGATTTCTCAAGGTCTTTAGACTGCTTTCCAATCTTCACATGTTGATGGACAGGATCACATATGCAATAGTTCTCTGAAAATGAGTACAATTCAGATTAACAAAGCTTGTTCCAATTATATACATATGATAAATGACTTCTCCTTAAGTTCTCCTTTAAAATAAGTCAACTTGCATATTTATATATGTATATATATGTATTTATTTATAAAGAAATTTAAATATATATGTTCACAGTAATGGACATTCACCATAATTGTATGGATTCTCACAAAAACAGCATGACAGCCTTTAAAGGTCAGTGATTTATAACAGATCTTTATCAAAAATCTCTAAGTGGGAAAAAGATAGAAAAAAATAACTGAGGGTCATGAACTAACTTTGGGATAGAGGTCCCTGAGTGGATGTATTTAGAATATATACCACTATCTTTAAATATTTCTTCTCAGAAATTGATGAAGAAGAATTTAAAACAAACCCAGGTTTACAGTGCTTGTACGTACTACGTGATGGGCAATGTAGAGGGATATTCAGAAGACCCAATTCCTTTTAAGATTAAAGTCTTACTCAAAAGTATCACAGGGTTTACTTTTCTTTCTAGAAAAACACAATAGATTCTTCAAAAGGAATGGATGCAAAGACAATATTCTGCCAGACATTAGAGGTTCTAGATTGTGTGAGGCAGGGATGTCATGGGACGTTATTGCTTTTTTTTCTATCCTCCACTGCCTGAGCTCTACACACTGCTGTGTTTCTTAACTTTCCTCATAGAGTTATTCTCAAGTCCACTCTGTACATTGACTTCTGAGATTATTTCTCAGAAGGGTGTCTGAGTGCTTTCCACTGGCAAGAAAATAAAGGATGTAATATGACGATACATATACAAGGAAGGAAATTACAGAATAATCCTACTTCATAAACTCACGTTAGACTTAAAATTTTGTCAAATCATGCAGATCTGATTTCAGCATAGACAGTAAAACTGCATTTTGTACTAGAATTAAGTCACCATAATTCAGATGTAATAAGACACAATACCTTCTAACAGTTATTACAACAGGCAGGATGCATCCTGGGGCCAGGACACTATACTAAGTTAAATGATCAGAAATCCTTTCAAGTGGAATTGAACATCACAAAAACATTCTCAGCTCTTGCTTTCTCCTTCACTTAAGTCATCACTGTTGTCCCACTCATTGACTAGCCCATTCTAGTTATGGCAACTCTCTCCTCTTCACATTCCAGGTGATCATTATTGCACACAATAATCCACATGTTCTTTCAGGTAGCCATGCTAGAATTTTAGAAAGAATACAAAGTCTATAGTAGTTCTGTGCTGAGAACATAAAAATAAAAAGCAGAAGCTGGGTGGTGGTGGTGCAGTCTTTAATCCTAGCACTCGGGAAGCAGAGGGAGCTTAATCTCTGTGAGTTCAAAGTCAGCCTGGTCTATAAGAGCTAGTTTCAGGAAAAGCTCCAAAGCTACAGAGAAACACTGTCTTGAAAAACAAAAACAAACAAAACAAAAACAAAACAAAACACAAAGCAGAAGAATTTAAGCAGGATTTCTCAACTGATAATTATTTTCAAAATCTTCAGGGTATTTAGTATTTTCAGTTTGTATATCTTGAATTTTTCTCAGAATTAAAACCACATCAATTGTAATAAAAGATATGGAGATTTAAGATATTAGTGGAAATAGTATATGCTATTGAGGTTATAGATGAATCTTAGAACCAAAATGAAGACTGAATGAAACCTCTAAAAGTGGAAAATGGAAAGGGAAACCTAAAAAGCATTGAAAAAGTTCTTTCTACTACTTAACATTGCCTTGTCTTCTCTTGGTTTTTGTTTTTTTTTTGTTGTTGTTGTTGTTTGTTTTTCAGGACAGCTTAACACATCCTATGAAGAACATCTTAACATCCTATGAAATCAGAATACACAAAAGATGGGTTCGGAATTCAACAAGCAAAACATTCTCACCCACAAAGATCAGGTTGTTATAATTCTCCAACATCACATCAATGCACAAAGCCCTCTGAGCAGAGTCCAGGCATTCCCACTCCTCCTGTGAGAAGTTCACAGCTACATCCCTGAATGTCAACAGACCCTGAAATAAAAAAGGTACGGTTTAACCATGTGCTACCTGGAAGTGCTTTCCTGGATATATGGAAACAGAATGTGGATAAACGAAGATAATTACTGAAACAGGTGATGTCCAATACAGTCATACTCTATCATGAATGTTCTAACTCTGTGAAAACAGGATGAAATAGTCTTACAAACATATACATGAAACAAGAAATACGGTTAAGGTCTGGAAACCATTATCTATCTGTTACAGATGCCGTGTTTATGTTACACAAGATCACAGCAGACATGTCTCAGAAGGAAAATTCATGAGGAGGAAATGTGCTTCAATTGCTGTACCAGTAGATCATGCCAAAACATTGACGTATATCACTCTTGTGTGTACTTGGGCCTTACATGATTGTATTCTAACAGGCTCAAGTATGATGCTTAAACTCTAAGTACAAAGTCACAACATTAAGGAACAAAAGTGTAGGTAAAGAAGGCAGAATATATGCCTGATTTTAAAGGTAAAGACCTTTTTTTTCATAGTAGCAAGAATTGTAACAGCACTACATACTGTCAATTAATATATAAGATAAGGGTTCTATGGAACTAATTTTATGAGAATTTTTAGGCCACTACAAATTGATAGAAAAATCTGCATCAGCCATATTGCATGTAGTCCATAATTTCCCTAAGAATATGCATAAGCCAAGACAGACAAATAGCCATTCAGAGGTTTTTGAGAATATTTCACTTCACTCCTGAAGAGTAATAAAAATCAAGGGAAGTCTAAAACACATCAAAAAATGTTTAAGCAATAGCTAAGAAAATTTTTATCATTGACATTTTGGATAAAGCTCACAGCAAGAATTTAACAGAAATTAAATTAATTAAATACTGGGGAAATAAAACTACAAATCAACAAATGGGCAAATAAACTAAATAGACACTATTTCAAGACCAAAGACCACTCAAGCGGCCAATAAACATTGCAAAAGCATTCAGGATCCTAAAAAGGCCACCACAGAAATGCAAATTAAAACTACTTGGCAATATACGGCTTCACCCCAAACAGAATAGCTGTCATCAACCAACCCAAGAATAATGTCCAATGACATTTGATCCTAGCATTCTGGATCACATGCCTTTAATACCAGCGGTAGGGAGGTGGAGACAGGAGTGATATGGCTGGAAGGAGAGGAGAAAATAAAGCAGGAAGAGACAGGATCTCAGAGCAGTCTGAGGTTTCATGGAGACAGCATTCAATCTGAAATTTCATCAACAGAGCATTTAGTCTGAGGATCCATAGAAACAGGATCGCCCTTTTGGAACTCTCTAGTGGGTGACTTCTCTTCTTTTCTGATCTTTCAGCATTAACCTCTATATCTGACTCCAGGATTTATTATTAAGACCAAACAGAATTTACACTACAACTCCTCACAAAAGTCATAGATTTTCTAACAAGCTGACCAACACCAAGGGTAAGAAGCATGCTTAGAAGTTGTTGGTCACAGCTGTGCAAAAGACCTCCAAACATTATATGGTATTGCTGTTGCCCATGGTTGCCTCTTAGAGGCAGAAGTTGAGTCCCTAGAGAACTCAAGATGGAACTGACCTTAAAGCTTCATGCCTGGGGACTAGCTTTCATGGTGCCAGAAGGCAACATCCAAGCTTCCAAAGGAGGGAGCCACCCAACAGTCCAACCCAGCTATGACACCTATGAACCACAAAAATTATCCAAACTGAATGACAGCCCTAAGGGTGCAAGAGTCGCACACAAACCTTGGTGGTAACCAACAGCTTCTAGTTGGATTAAGATCATTTCAACGAGAGGAAAAACATGCCTGGAACTGGAAACCTTGTCAGTTTCCCTAGAGCTACTGAAGTCATGGATCTTGGAGGAGAACCTACAACCAGTACTTTACAAAATCAGCATAGGTCCTTACTGCATTCTAAATATTTAGCATAATTTTAGACAGACAATAGGAGACAGTACAGATGGAGTTTAGCAGGATACTTCCTGGTGCTTATCAAAACCATGCTGGCATTATTTTCAGGAATGAAGACAAAAACACTAAAAGGTAGAGAATGTTAGAATACCAAAGCTCAAAAATTCTGAAAACAATAAATAAACTTAGAGGTATTAATTTTCATTGTTTTTATAATATATAAAAATCAAGGAATAAAATTATTTAAAAATGGTATGAAACATAATCAGTGAAGTGAATGAATAAGGACAGCATCAGTCACATGCATAATCAAATAAAATTTTCTTCTGTAGAAAGTCTTCTCATGCTTTTATTTTGAAAATCCAGACATTTTTCTCAGTGGAAGTCTCCAGAATAATTTTGAGTGAAACAGGAAGTGGTAAAACTGATTTCCTATCCCACTTCCTCATTTACTTGATCCCCTTTCCTCCCCTTCACCAGTCCCTCTACCATACCTGCATCCTTAGCTGCTGTCTCCTCTCCTTCCAGGCCCTTTGTTCTGCTGCACAGGTGAGCAGGTATGGGTGATCAGTGAGCCCTGTACATGAGAAAGAGATTCTTCAGGAAGCACATGGATTTCTGACACAGTACTGTGGTGATCTTTTGTTTGTACTCTAACAAATGAAGCCTGCCTGAATATCACAGGGCAGAATTAGCCACTAGTTAACCACAGAGGTCTGGAAACCAGTACAGAGAGGAAGTGATATAGTTGGGCAGAGAGAATATAAGGCAGGAGGCTGAAGATGGATGCTGCAACAATACAGAGAACTTTGGAAGACTGCGCAGGCAGAGAGATGTCTTTGTTAATTCTAGAGTATTGGAAGTCGCTTACAATGCACTTCTTGTTAACTTAGGTAATATATCCTTCTGGGTTCTTTAAAGACAGTTATAGTTTTCCTTAGTTATACTAAAAGATAAATGAGATATGAAATTTTAGACTCACAAATATAAAATAGATGATAGTATATTTTCCTTATTTTTGCCAGATATAAATAGACTAAATATTGTAACTGTAATTCTTGCTTGATACCTGTTTTTGTTATATGTAATTTTACTATGTTAAAGTTAAAAACCTTCCCTTTTAATTAGACAGAAAAGGAGAGATGATGTGGGATGTCCTTCTGTATATGTATTGCTTTTATTGGTTGATGAATACAGTTCTTTGGACCAATTGCTTAGCGGAATAAAGCCATGCAGGAAATCCAAACAAAAATATAGAAAGAGAGTAGGTAGAGTCAGGGGGGTGCCACATAGCTGCAGAAGGCACCTTATCTAGTAAGCCACAGCCTTTCTTTACATCTCTTCCCTCCCCATAGAATTCCTGTTATACCCCTTACTCTGTAGATCAGGATGGCCAGCAACTCCAAGATTCACCTGTCTCTGCCTCCAGAATGCTGGAGTTAAGGGCATGTGCCACTCCCCCAACCAGGTTTATAATGCCCATGCCCTTTTTTTCCCCCTTTTGATTTTTCAAGACAGGGTTTCTCTGTAGCTTTGGAGCCTGTCCTGGAACTAGCTCTTGTAGACCAGGTTGGCCTGAACTCACAGCAATCCAACTGCCTCTGCCTCCTAAGTGCTGGATCAAAGGCATGTGCCACAGCCAACTAGCACTATAATGCCCTTTTTAGCTGTGAAAAGACTGTGACCTAAGACCTTCAAACAACAGACTGTTCATTTTCCTGGTTCTAATCTGTTTATTAAGACTTCAGCACAAAAATACACATTTCTTTTTTCTTGTTTTCTTCTTTTTTGTGAGACAGGATCTCACCATGTAGCTCTGATTGTCCTGGAAGTCACTATGTACATATTACTGGCCTTCAACTCACTGCAATCTGCCTTCCTTTGCTTTCCCACTGCTGGGATTCCAGATGTGTGCCACCAAGCCTGGCAAAGACACTTTTCAGAATGCTGCATTTACATCATAGAGTGCATATGCCTCAGATGAAAGTTAATGGAGGATGAAAAGTTTACTTTTAAACCATATTTCTTTATGCTTATAACCATATCTGTGAAACTTGCAAAACTATATTTCAGATTCAATTCCATCTGCAGGCCATTACGTAGGTTAACAGGCCAGGGGAAAATGACTCCGCCCCTTCCTTCCCCAGAACTCCGAGACTGGTGCAAGTGTTACAGTAGAGAGGAGAGCAACTACCCAATGCAGGCCTTGCAGCTCTGAAGGGAACGGTATCCTGCCAGCTGGGAATCAAGGAATACCACAAAGCCAAACTGAAAAACAAAACTCACAGAGGAGATTTACTGGGAGGGAAAAACACAGCCTCTTCTCTGAGGAGAATCATCAAAGACCTAAGCAGGAAATTGTATTGATATAGTATTTTAGGGGAGGGTGAAGAGGGACAGAGCTTTCCAGGGTGACCTGGGATTGGAGAGAATTTGTGGCCTGATCTTGGGGCAAACTCAGGAATTACTGGAATTTTGTGGCCAGGTATTGGGCATTTCCCCCCCCCCCCGTAAATTGGGGCCTGGTTAGTCTGCCTGAAGGGACTAATAACGGCACTTATGACCCTTAGAGTATTCTGGGGTAATGGGAGCGTAGGGCAGGGTCTAGCCAAGCCTGTGCCTCCAGAGGCTTTCAACCTGGAAAGCAAGCCCCGTGATTAACTGTTAATAGATATCCACCATTTCAGCATTAAGTAATACTTCAGGCCCCCCTGTACATTTCCACCATCACCCTGCACATGATCCAAAGACACTATACAAGCCCAACCTCCGCCCAGCCTTCCACGGTCTCTTTTCCCTTTCAGTGTAGCCACCAGTCTGTTTTTCCCCAATAAATCTCTGGCATTAGGTTTGTTGCATGGTGTGCCTTAGTTGTGTTCCTTCACACCTGACTGCAAAGATGTCCTTGCGCTGAAAAACCCTTCCACGTCCTCTCATGTCTAATATCAAAAAGCTCTGCCGGGATGCTAAGTACCAGGTAGATCACAGAAATTAACAGGGATGATGTAAATTTCGAGAGCTTTGTTCTTACAATCATAAAACGCCTTTGCAAGCATCAACAAATAAATTCAAATATTCTACTCAATTATTTTTATAACACTATTTCGGCGACCAGAGACGATGAATTAAAAACAGGATGCTCCACTGACCTGGGAGGTCCCAGGGCCGCCGGGCTGCGGTTTCCCCACTGCGCTGCTGACTTTCCCAGGCCGCCCCGCGGAGACTGCGGCTCCGGGAGTTTTCGCGTCCCCGCGACACCCGGCAGTGTCCTCCGCTCCCAGGTCTGCACCATTCGATCCCCGACGGTGCAGGTCCCCGAGCAACGACGGGGAACCAGCACTGGGCACTTCAGGCTTCGGCTCTTCCGCCCAATTTTCCAAGCATCAGTAAAGCCGCTTCCCAGCTTCCGCCTGCGTCATGCCTCTAAGCCCTCCCACTACCTCAACAAGGGCCAAAGATCTCCTTCAACCGCTGTTTCCGGGTGAGTGTCTCCGCCCCACTGAACCTCCCGCTGTGTCTCATGCTGCCCTGGACCTGATTTGCACAGCTTGCTGTCAGCCTAAACCAGAACTGAATGTAGGAGGACGCTACATCCCATTACTTGACCCCACAGGGAGTTCTGACCCCTTCAGATAAAAGACAGGCAGCCTAACCTCGACCTGACTACCAGCCTCCCGGGCTGTATAGTTACACCAAACGACAATACGCTAAATTCAGATGCCAGCATCCCATCGCCAACAAAAATATGACAAGTGAAAACCAAAATTTGCAATTGTGCCTTGGATTTAAAAAAAAAAAAAAAAAAGGTGTCTCAAGAAGTCAGGTCAGTCCATCGCTAACATCCCAGGGCTGAGTTCATCCCGCGCTGTTCTGCTCTCACCCCCTAGAAGGTGATCTTGACATTTTATTCACTCAGAAAGGAGTTTGTCTTCTATAATGCATGCTTAAGGTGCTTTGAGATAAATCATAGATTTTTTTTTTAAAACGCAGAGGTGAATGAAGAGTGTCTTGCTGTCCCAGATTCAGAAAATAAAGGAGGTATGTGGTCCCAATCCTAAGAAAGTCTGTGACTGGGACCTTTGAGAAAGAGGAGGAAAGGAAATAAAGGAAAGAGGAGGAAGGGCTGACTCCACACAGCTGCTGTAATCAGTAACCAGCAGCTACCATACTTACCTGCATTGTCCTCGCACTAGATCAAATTAATCTAAGAGAGGGCAAGGCTCATAAGGCCCACTCTTTACCTCTCAAATGTTGGCTATGGATGAATTGTAGGAGAAGAATCACTACATTTAACTGTAGTCCTCTGCTGAGTCCAGCAGGCTCAAACACATACCTCTAAACCCACAGTCTCACACATGGCCCTGGTTAATCTCAGAGGATCCCAAGCAAAATGAATGGAGATGAATACAATGAATTTGTTGGAATTGTGGACCCATAGTAGAGAGGCATGAGGCGAGAGTGGGCAGTATTTAAGGAACATGCTGTGTGTATGTTGTGTCAAATAGTTAATAACACACTTTTTAAATGACCATATTAGTCTGTAATTTCTTTTTGGTTGTATCATTATCTGGTTTTAATGTCAGATAATAGTAAGAGTCAGGAAGTCTTCCTATCTTGTCAAAAAGTATTTAAAGTAGCTTTGCTGTTAGTTCTTTGAAGTTCTGATAGAATCCTGTCAATATGGTCCTGGTGTTGGGTTTTTTTTCGGGGGAGGCATTCCTGGTTCCATCTCATTGCTACTTGTATTTCTACTTACATTATTTATTTCTTCTTGTTTTAGTTTCATATAATATATGCACTCGTCTATTTTAATTAGAGTTTGTAATTTAGTGGTGTTGAAAATTTAATGTTAATAGACAGAAGACCCATTTGTTCACTCATGACTATCAAGTATGTGGTGAAGTTACCTTGGGTAATTGTCAAGACATGATAACAAAAGGTGATGTATAGTTGGGCAAGATCATACAAACCTATGAATCCAGCTCTCAGAATGCAGGAACAAGGAGGTCTCTGAGGTCAAAGCCATCCTGATCTACACAGTGTGTCTTAGGAAGTCAGTAACACACAGAGAGACCCTGTCTCGAAACAAAGAAAACTCTTTCTTGTAGAATAGCTTTTAAGGTACCAGAAGTACAATGTAAGCTTCCAATGGAGGAAGCCAATGAACAGTCCTACCCAGCTATAATGCCCATGACCTACATCAGTGGTCTTCATGGTACAATAACCCTAAGAGTGCAGTAGTGGCAGTCATGCCTTATTGTTAAGCAACAGCTCTCTAATTGGACTAAAGGCTCTTGTAACAAAAATAGAAACCATAACTGGTACTAGACACCTGGCTACCTACTTGGTGCTGGGGAAGTCAAGAATGTTAGAGAAGAACCAAGATCCAGCTCTTTTCTAAACGAGCATAATCCCACAGATAAACGTAGTCTCCACCCTCATCAAGGAAACTTCTCTTTGCAACAGAGTCTGCTAAAAAATAATTACAACTAGTGAAAATCCAGAGTCATGGAGACTAAGCCCAATGGATATATCTACAAAACTCTCCTTTAACCAAGACTCATGGACCATTTTTTTTTGAAAAGGGGGAATAGATATTGTAAGAAACATAGAATCATAGAATTTGCTGAGATTGTAAGGTTGTGTCTCCAGAAGCTACATCCATAAAATTTCACCTACATGACAAACCAAACAGGATCTGAACAAGCTTATAAACTATGGACTTGCTAAAATGGATGAGGAAAGACCCACTGGCCTGAGACCTTTGTACAGTGGAAACAACAGGCAATATGGGAGAATGTTGGGAGCAGCAGAAATAGTCTCTACCAAGGAAGAGCACATCAACTGCGTGTCCAATACCAAATGTTCAGCCTAGAAAACATTCATACAAGTAATGTTATGTGGACTGAGCAGTTTATTTAAGAACTTATGTATGTAGATATACATATATATGCAATATTGCTAATGAAAAAGAGGCTATGAATTTGAAAGAGCAGGGAGGGGTTTAAGGAAGAGTTCGAATGGAGGAAAGTAGGAGGAGAAATGTTCTATTTATATAATGAAGTCGCCGGGCAGTGGTGGCGCACGCCTTTAATCCCAGCACTCGGGAGGCAGAGGCAGGCGGATCTCTAAGAGTTCGAGACCAGCCTGGTCTACAGAGCTAGTTCCATGACAGGCTCCAAAGCCACAGAGAAACCCTGTCTCGAAAAA